AATATTACAACAGTAAGATTAGAGGCACTTGTATTACTTTAATGTAATAAGTTTTAATAACACTTGAAAACAACTAAAATCTATAAAAAATCATAACATTTTGTGAACATTTAGAGAATGGTACAGAACATAATGCATTCCATAATGGTCAGAATCGATTTATTCAAGTAGCCATGTAGCATGTGCTTTGGGCTCTAATTTGTAAGATATCTTGCTGTGACTTTCTTAAAGAAATACTATTAGAATGGGCAGTCTAACAGTTTGGAACATTAGTCCTTGAACTTTACGAGTTGCTATCATGTAATGTTTTTCAATCAAATATGTTAAGAAGCAAATCTTTTTCTTGGCAATGAATACCATTCGAATAAAAATGTAATTTTCAAGATGATTTCACCCTGAATATAAACCGATTCTATTTTGCAAGTTGTATGTCACATGATTATTACATTTTATAATAACTCTTAATGCACACATTTTCTACTTCATCGTTTCTTCATGCCCCTTTTCTTTACTACATTTTTCACTCAAATAAATATTACAATATGAAACAATTTATATATACCCACACAGTAGTCACATTAATTTGAAATATTGATTAATATGAATGTACATTTGTTCCCTAGTAATTATTATGTAAAAAAGCATTAATAATCATTGTATAAATTGAAGTATATTCAAGAAAACATCAGTGTTGCATTTGGAATGTTTGGAGCAAACCTAAAAAAAAATCTTTAATTGTGGTAGTTTCTAATGTTACCAAATTTACTTTGTTTCTCAATTTCTTAGATAATATTAAGACACAGCACATACAAAAATTATAGACCCAGCTAATTCTGCAACCAATATGTGCTTAAGTAATATAATATATTGAATAAATAAATTACTTAAACTTTTAGTTCTAAAAAAATACATTTCTTGGTTGATTTATGCATTTTAGTTCCCCTAGAAGATCAAATTAAAAAGTCCACTGCAAATACATAAATATTTCTAGTGATATACACAGATACACATTTATTTTTGAACTTAAACTTCCTTTTCCAGCTTCCAAACAGGGGAAATAATCCAAGAGGCAAAATCATTTGTGTTTAGCAGACGGGCAATACACAAAGAAATTAATAATCACTAAATGAGAGTTTTGAGAAATATATTAATGTACTACAGTTAAACCTACAATGTGTAAAGCATGTAAACAACCAAAGAGCATATTCCAATGAATTACAAAAAATACATTTGAAGAAAACATTCCATATACAATGGCAGTGCTCTTTAAAATCTAGTACATTTGTGTGCTTTGAGATATCTGGAAGACAAAAGGTTAATCTTACATTATCTGATTGTAAGAGAGCAAATTATATTAAATTGTACATTGAAATCTATATTGACTTTTAACTTATTTCAGTCACAGTCTGAGTTTCCATATAAGATCACATAATACTATTGCCTATTATGATTTCAGACATTTAAGTACTGATAATTTAACTTCTTTATAAATTTGCATATTGAGGTTTTCTTTGATGTACATTTAAAGTAAAACTTCTTTAATGTTCTACTTTTATAAATCCACTTTTTTGGTATAATTACATTTTTACTTAAATGGGTAAAATTCAAATTTGAAAGATTATACTATGAAGGGTTAATAAAGTGAATGTCAAGGCATACTTCTGCAATGCATGAATACTTCTGAATTAAATTATATAAGAGTCTCTACGTTTCATGGTAGTATATTTCTCGATAATGTAATTATTTAGCTATTAAAAGCTTCTCTGTAACTTTTCATTATTATGTTGCCATTTTAAAAATTTTTTCACAACAAACAGCAGCATTGTGATCAATACAGATTCATACTTCACGTAAAACACATGTATCAAACATTACCACAATATCAGAAGAAACAGTCGCACTTGAGATGTCTTCTTTTAACTATTAAATCAGACTATAAACCATTTAAAATTTTAAACTTTCTACTGAAACTTATAATTATATATGGATATTTCTACTGAAACTTATAATTATATATGGATTTGATTTGGAATGTAAGTAAACATTTCTCTGCAGAAGTAATCTCAAGATGTTTTTGATGTGTTACAGAAAATTCAATCTGGTTTTAACTCATGGATTACTATTTTTCACAGGGCACAGTTGTCTTCTCCTAACATTAACTTTCTAGACAATTTGGTCACTCACATTTTATTTTCAATTTCTTTACAAAGAACAAATTAAAACAAAAAAGAAATAATTCTAGAGGTTTTGGAAATAGGAGATTATACATGACAGAGTCCTCTAACCCAAATACAAAGTTTATACCACAAAAGTATCAACATTGATTATTAACTAATATATCAATTTCTCAAAAATTGAAAGGTCATCTCCAAATACAGAATTTGGGAATATACTCAGACCTCTGAGAAAAGAGGTTTTATGTAATACATTAACTGACCCCTTTGTGATTAGTCAAGTAATATGATATGAGCCATTTATTATTTGCCTATGTCTTTTAGTCTGAAGTTACAATGGAAGTTGGAGCAAAACGTGTACAGAAAATCACTAGTTAAACTAAAATTGTGAAGACTTTTTGCATCACACATCATTGAATTTTTTAATTAGTTGTAACTAACATTTTAGGAGAAAAAATAGAGTACCCATTTCAAAATGGAACTTGTGCCATAATTATTTGCATTCATTTGAAATAATAATAGAAACTTCCATTTTATTCACAATAAATGACAGTTAATATTCAGGATGGTAGTATAACAGCAATTTTTCTTCCAGTTTATAATGCACAAGTGTAATTGAGATTCTCATCTTATGTTAATTTCTGACCCTAGTTAACAATGGCTAATATGAATGCAGTGATTATAATTTGTTTATAAAAAAATTTCGTGTATTTTTGGGATCATTTTAAAATATGATGAATCTTCTTAAAAAAAAAAAAAATCCCTTACAAAAAACATGTAAATTATTCTAATGCTCGTTTTATGGCAGGTAATCTCCAATGCAAGTGCACTTAAAATGAAATACCTAATTATTTTATTATCTCTGTATTGATTTTTGTAATCTGCCAATGTAATCTTTAAAAAGTGACAAGAATACAAAATTTTACATCATATTTACAAAGAAACAAAAAATTAATTAAATTTACTAAACAATATTCAATAATTTAAAAACCATTTAGAAAATTGATTTGGTTGTTAAATTTTATTTTTATTACCAATATTTGGCTTGTTTGTTGTTTTTTTTACAGTACCCTTCAGCCATCAAATTGGAATGTATTGAGACATATTCCTTTCACCACTATTTATTGGTACCTGCAACTAGATGCCAATCAATTTTTCTCTCTGTGGAGTTTGTGTACAAATGGAGGGTTGACGTAGGGGTGCAGTTAATTGGCTACCTGCTACCTCAGTGATGAGAGTAGCCCTATTCTCTTCTCCTACATTGGAATGCTTCTGCACTCAGCAGAGAACTTCACATTTAACTATAGTTTTCATCTTATTTAGGATACTTCATTCCTTTCAATTAAAATTAAAAATCACACCTATTTAACTAGAGGTATTTTCGCAGTAGAATTAATTGTTAAATATAGAATTCAACATTTAAACCTAAACTATATTTATATTAAAAACATTAACTCATTTTTTGAAAATACTTCAGAAAAAACTAATTAAAACCAAAAACTAAGTAATTACACCAACATAAAAGGATCTATAATTGAAAGTTTAGGTTGGATGCAATTTAATACAACTGATTTTTCTGTTAAGTTAATCTTCGTAAGAGTTGTTTTATATACTATTTATACATTTTGTATATAATTCTAAAAATCAAACATTAAACACATCTTTAAAAAATGATTTAAGAAAAAATTGTTAATAACTGTAAAAAAATTCTAAGAAAGTTTTGAGTTAAATCTTACTTCTCTTTTCAAAGTTCAAATTTGAAATTGTTATGCTTTTGACTAAACTGTAATTCCTAATGTAATCTTACAACAAATTTTGCAACAATTCCTGGATACACATTGTGTATTTAATAGTGTCTATATCTGTGTTGTACACTAGTAAGTTTCGGGTAATTCTGTATTCTCCAATTACATGAAGTATATCATTGATCATGTATTAAAGAAAATATTTGGATATAGTTTACTTACTGAGAATGGATGCCATTTTTATTTGTCCTATCATAGAACCAACAACATGGAGTTTAAAAATGACATGGGATTGATTTAGCCAACAGAACAGAACTAGTGTAATTCCATAAGCATTTACAGTGAATATCCTCAAGAGACTGGCCTCTGGGATTGACATAAAACATGTGTATCTAAAACATTTTTATTAGAAATTAAATAATTATAAACATTTCGTGGTGGCAAAGATGCGCTATATCTTTTCTTCTTTCTACTAACCTTACCCTATTCATTGCCATTGTTGTACATATTTTTAACAAAATTAAATCAATCACCTCAATTGCCATGCAGTTGGCCAAACAACTTATGAAAACTTACAAGTATGGATGGCAACAGATTGCAACAAATGAAGTATGTACGCTGCATAGATTCCCCAGAAAATCAAATGCCAAATATTTACCTATGTTTGTAAAGAGTAATTTTTGTTGACACCCGGTAAATTGTGTATTTTTGTAACAATTTATTAAGTTCCTCTAAGAACAACATATCTTAAGCAAATAACAAAGCCTAACAAATGCAATGAAGGGAAGCAAGTAAGAAGTACAAATAGAAGACAAATTCCAGTAGAAGAACATGATAAATCAACTCAAAATAAAATAGAAACCTGTCAACATAAAATAAATATTTATATACTCAATGGTGGATCTGGGGGAGGAACATGCCCCTCCTCTCCCCAAAAGACCTTGAGTTTTCATTTGTTACCCCCCTTTATTTGGCAAAATTGATTTAAATATTTATGTTGGAATTATGTAACTATTTAAAAAATAATATTGTACAGTATCATATATACCTACAAAAAATACTTTACAATAACAAATATGTTTATTATTTAAGAAAAATCTATGATACTTCACCCCCCCCCTCCAAAGGATTGGCTGGATCTGGCCCTGGAAACGCTCATTGTGTGTACCTTGAAGAAAATTTGAGAGAAAATATAGTCACAAAATTACTGAAAGTATTGAATAGGAGAATTAAATCTATGATGACAATATGAGAAGTAAAGATGGAAGAATTTCAGTAGTAAAGATCAGAAAAAATCAAGAAATTATAATTCAAATTATGTGCAGTAGTTGTATGTAACTTGCAAACATTTATAAAAGGATGGGTAGTATACTGTGCATATTAAAATTTTGTTCATGTTCTATTTTGTAAGGATAATCAGATTTTGCATTCAAAGATGCCTCTGTATAAATATTGGTAATTATTTGATGGCAATAAATGATATTTTATTCATTTTTCTCCAAAAGTGAAAAACTGGTTTGAAAAATAACGAATAATAATACTGCATTAAAAATATACCTGCACCTTCTTGAAGTAACCTTTATCACCCTTTTTTAAAAGTAAATCGAAAGTGTAATCCCAAATTTTTGCTTTGGCTGTCTCAACTACAATTTTTTTTCAGATGATTTACTATAATTTTATTACAACTGATCATGCATATGTAACTGAAAAATTATGAACTGCCTATTTTTGATCAATACAAATACCTATTACTACATTCAAAATTGTTTGTGCAGTGAAAATATAAGACAACAAATAGGGACTTCCGAAACAACTATGTTTAAATGAAATAGTGTATATATTACATTAAGCATTTAATTATTTCCTTTTATGGCATTAACTCTTGATTGTGAATACAAAACAATTGTGACTAATTTTATATCAGTGAACTTGTCATAGATTGCCTTTACATTAAAAGGAATGGAAGAGGAAAATAATGAAGTGCATGAATTATGTTCCAAGAGGAGTCAAATAGAAGTCACCCACACAATTGTTGTCAGTTTTCAAAAATTTAAACAAAACATTTTCACAAGAACCAGAACAAACAATACCGGTACATAATATCAACTTATAAGTTAAATGTGAACACTCATTAAACAGCTATTGCATGCAGATAAGTTTAGACAAATTATATATGAAGACTACCTCAACACATTTTTAACTTTTTCTTTGGTACAAAATTGATCTAAAATTCAGTTGCATTGCTAGGTGAGGGTCAAAGGAACAGGGTCATATCAGTTTACTCAGTTTACAGGGTCTCTCCATGGGTCATCTCAGTTTACAAATTCCACTAAACACAGTGAAAACCTCAATTAATAATAATCTTTCTTTCTGAAACAGCAAAAGTAACTTAATGTTCAATAATTCAAACATTGTATATTATTCAAAATTCCTGTAACAGAGAAGAGAGTCTCATTCCTCAATGGTGATACTATGAGTTGTGCACTAGGTGATACCAAGCCCAGTGAAGCAGCTGATAAGATGCACGAGAAATCGTACATTTTAAGGTTCATATTACTTTTTGATTCCTCCAGTGTACAGTGTACTTCTCAAAAAAATATGTACTGGAGAAGAGCAAAAATACAGAAATGAGCAAATGTAAATCTGTCAAGCATGCACTCAATCAATGAGCTGGGTTGGAAGGAAGCTCTCGTATCTTGTACGTATTATTCATATCTATACATATATGCTTACATTTCTTTCACTTGTGCAGTTTTAAGTAGTTTCCATGTCACTCAACAGTATTTTTCATTGAAAATTCAACCCTATTCTGTAGTTGAGATGGGCTTGAAGACTCCAAATTTTCCGTGAAGTTAGGAAACAATTTATGACCACAAGGAATTTCTCACCTATTATTATTAGTTTGTAAAATAGAAGATGAGCAATTATAAGGCATTAATTGAAATTTATATATTTATTTTGATGTAATAATCTTACATAATAAGTGCAAAAATCAAGTACCACACGAATAATTTGAGCACATCTCTGGTAACTTTCATAGACTATTCTTTTTATAAAATTATACAAATAATTCATTTTGAAATTCAATTATATGCTGTCCCTTCTCAACAATTTATATTCTACTCGAGGGGGACACAATAGACAGACATTTACTTTCTCATATCAAAGGGGTACTAACACAAACACGCACATGAAAAGAAATGTATTTTGAAATATCTACAGGAAAAAAAAAATTATTTCATCTAACAAAAATATTTACAAGATCTCAGTATTTGAGAGACTTGTAAACAGTAAGCAACATCAATAAATATTTCCATACGTCTATAAAATATTTAATAAAATATGTAATAACTTCACTTTTCTAACAAAATAAAAGCAACTAATTACAGAAACAAAATCAGATATAAACATTTGTTTACTAGGTCTACAGATATATAGTACATCAGTCATTCATTTCTATACTTCTCAAAATATACAAAGTTCAAAGAACACATTGTGTGCATGTAGCAACTTCTGCTACTTAACCCTGTAATGAGGTATTTTTCAATTCTGTCTTAACATGTACAATTTTATACTTTTAAAATTATTCAACTAAATGTGATTTCCAGTGGAATTTACAATAGTATGAAAAATGTTTAGAATATCAGACAACTGTAGGACAGAACACACAAAATAAATTACCACACTAATTTTTCCCTCAATTCAATAAGAATTCATACCTCATAAGGTTTACAAAATGGGGATGAGAATTGAATACTAGTCCAACAGAGAAGAAGAATCCAACTTTTAAATTTATACAAGGTAAAGTGCTAAATTACTGCTTATAACTGAAATAAAATATATACAATTTCACTTCCAATTTTATATTTAATGTTTCATAGTTCCTTTAAGAAGATACATTGCAGAGTTATCTGACATCAGTGGTGGTTGGTCAGTCATGAGGTAATGAAGGAAATTAACAAAATGCCTTATTATTATCAAACCCCAAAAAATCATGAACTTTACATTATTTTTTTTTATGCAATAATTTTGCCTTTTCACACCCACGAAGTAAACATATGCTGACTAGAACACACAAGTTTGATTGGAAAATAAACATTCTCTTAATTTCAGCTTGACTTGATTTACAAAAATGCCCTAAAAAATTATTTATATATTACCAATTTTTAATACATTCATGTAATAATTATGTTTTTTTTGACAAAATCCAAAGTCTATTATATAAGAAGAATATTTTAATGAAGATAATGGCCATTTCTAAGAGTTATATTTAGGAGGAACATTTTTATTTGAGAAATAGCGTTCCTCTATTCTTCAATTCACATCCCATTTATAAACTTGAAATAGAAATTGGCACATGGATTTTTTTAAAATCAAGGGAGAGCAATTTCAAAGGTTAAACATTATTTTCGATGTACTGTATCAATGTCACAAAGAAATAAACACAATTTTCCTAAAACGGTCATTCACCAATACACTCAGCTGGTCAATATAGAGTCAAGAACATACAATGTCCTTCTAGTTGAAGTAAGTTTTGGTGCTCTAAATACTGCATTTCAACAAAGTCTTATTTACATACTTGGTTTATATTTTCATTGAACTTTCAACCAGTATGAAAATAATAACCAAATGTCAACAAATTATGCAGTATTTAAAATAAAATATATACACAGTGATATTGAATTAATTGTGTAAATAAAAAAAATTATAGAAATTTATTTCTTAATTTTAATTCATAAATCAATAAGTATAGTCAAATTTTATAACTATTGTTAAGTGTATTCTATGAACAATTAAAAACTGTTATAAATACATACAAATAGATGGAGAGGAAAAAACACTGTACAGTCATTATTTAATTTCTCCATTTGATCAGCACCATTTTATAATTTGATGTATTGGAACAATTTATGACTTGATAAATTTGGTCCTATGTGGACATGTCAAATAACTAAACACAAAGAAATTTCTTCATTGAATGTTCAATAAATCATCTGAATAAATAATACATGATTTTATAACTAATAAAGGTTGCTGTAAGTGACATTTATGGAATGAATACCAAATCAAAATCTTTTCTTTAAATTCACAAAAATTTCATGAAATCTATTAGTACTTAGGAAATATTGGAAACCACACTAAGTTCAAATTTTAAAATTCTGAAGGGTGTTGAAAATCTACTTCCTTACTAAAAGATGAACTGTAACAGCAACTGCAAATTATATTCAAGTCATTTAACTGTTAAGATTTGAATAAGACAAGAGCACAACAAGTAGATTGAATGTTTAATTCACTAACTGATAATGAATTGAACATAATCCAAAAAAGAAAGCTGAATACATGTTTTGCCCAAATTTATCTTTACAACTTTTATATAGAGCAGCTACTAAAACAGACTTTTGAAAGTGTCACATTTTAACAACTAAAAATCGTCCCTTCTCCTCTTTTTCATTTTCAATGACAGACATTTTCTAAATACACACACTATCACACAACTCTAATGGGTGTTACCCCATAGAAAAGCTAAGTAGGCACAAACTAGTAGTGTCCAATCAACACTACTCGATGCAAAATATCACGAATCTTGTCATAAGTAGCAAAACTAATGCCAACTGCCACCGGTCCTTTCACCCAATTCATACTGAGCCCTTTGAAAAAGCCTCGTCGTATGCCTTCTTCCCTAAAAAAAATAAAAAATGTACACATTTCAAAAATTAATCTATTCAGTCTATTTTATCTCGCAACCCATTACGGAAAGCACTTGCTCTTGTTGTAGCAATTTTCCAACCTTGTGAAATACCTTTGGCATCCCTTTCAATTTGAGTGACCTTCCAGCATTGTAACTTTTAAATTGAAATTTTGATTGTTAACCAATCTTCAGTTTTTTTTGTGCTTATTATGGACATAAAAAAATTGTGACAATTTCATATGTCTATAGAGATAAAATGTTCAGTTTTACAAAACCTACTAATAAATGTGAAATCAGAAAATACCAAATCTAGGGATCTGGGACTGAGCTGTGTACTTTACTCTCCTGAGTCTTATGACCTATTATGAGTTACCTCGTCCTCTGCAGTCCTGATGTGCCAGCTACGGCTGTGATGTGAATGGTGGCAAAGACATGCAGTTGCCAAATTACCACAAGAGCAAGTGCTTCCAGAAATGAGTTTTGAGATAATATAAAGACCTTGTATCATTAAACTGTGATGGATACATTTAATTTTTTAATAATTTTACCTGTAAATTGTAGTAAGAGTTCCCAGGATTGTTTTGTACTTTGACTCATGGTATGGACTTGTTTGCATTCGCCGCCTTACAATATCAAGAGGATATGAGGAAGACTGACCCAGCATGCCAGCAACAGCACCAAAGAGTAGACTTGCTACTGCATTGGGACTTTTGTGCCCTGTGTACTCTGGAAAATATAGATTGATATATTGCATGGTTTTAATTTATCAGTTATTTCCTAAAGCACTTTCATGTTATTTTGCATTGCATTCTTATTTTCATCTGTAAAAACCTTCTGGGAAAAAAAAAAAGGAAGTTAACTGAAGAAAGTTAGAAATTTGTACAAATTGACAGAGAAAAACCTCAGTAGAAATAAAAAGCAAAACCATAAATGAGGTGTAAAAACGTTTTGGTCAGGCCAAGATTACCGAGGGCCAGAATTTATGTTGCATCTATTTTAAAATATCATTTTAGAAACTACACCACACATAAAATAATTTTTCTTAGTGTAAGTCTGCAACTGCTTTCTACATAATAATGCTGCAAATATGAAAAAAACTATAACAGAATACAAAAGAAAGTTTAAGAAAAGAAAGGAAATTAATATGTTAAAAATCATAGAGAAAACAGCTATAAAATGAGCAGTCAAGAAAATAACTAAGACAAAGGAAGTGAGAAGGGACTGTCTGAAAAATTGTAAAATAAAACATCAGGAAAGTGAAGAAAAACAGATCTAATTAATCAATCAATTAATTAAATACAAACACATGCAACAGGATAACATTTGTTTAAAATTAATAAAAAGTAGACAAAAGGTTCACTGCCAAAATTAGAAAGAAAAAAGTTTTCAAAGTTATTTTAAACTACCGGTACTTACCTATGTAATGAGTCTTCAATGTGTCATATGTAAAGAAGCTCACTCCAGCATATGGTATTACTCCCAAAATGGTAGGAATATAGCCACGATAGAAAGTCCGGGGTCCTTCTTCTCTCCAAATTTTCACAAAAACCTGATGTGAGAAAATGTATATTAATATTTATTTTCCATTTAAGTGCCATCTCTTTTAAAAGGATTGCTAGGGCAGCCATAATTTGTAATGAAAATGGAAAATGAAAATTCAATGAATGAATAAGATCATAAAAATGTAGTTTGCCATTCCTTTACATCATTCTCTCATGACAAAATACTCAAGTTTTGTGTCCAAAATATGTATTACTAATTTAACACTTAATTAACAATTAATTTATATTATCCTACCTAATGCCATTGGGTGCATGTGCAATGTTATGAGAGAACTGTAAAGTGGCTGAAAAAAAATTTTACTTTTATCTCTTCCTAACAAATAAAAACTTGTGTTGAAGAAATATGAAAAGAAATAATTTATATTTTTTCACAAAGCTAATTTGTAGAGATTCGAAATATAAGAAAGCTATTCATACTATTTGTCATCAGAAATTTATTTTATTTCTGATAACTACCAATGTTTTAGGTCTAACTTTTTTACATGATCAATATTATATTGTTCAAATTTTTTACCACTTTCAAATTTTTGTTACTATTTAATTACTAGCACTATTTCACTAGTGCAGCAGTATCTTCAGCATTGGGAACCTGTCATTTTTTCTTGTCAAACTTGAAAGCATAATTCAATCTAAACAATCAATGATAACAATAGAAGTGAAATAAATCTGCAAAATGTACTGTAACAACAATCTACTCCAAATTTATAGATAGATATTTCTTGAAAATAACTGTGCGCTTCTGTAACACTGTTCCTTGCGTGTTTGAAGTGCGCTTCAGTAAACTCAAATGCTATGAGGTATTTATTATGTTATAAAATTGGTAGGTAACCTACAAGTTACAAATATTTGTGACTCACTAAAAAATTACTGACACACCAACATAATGTTTTATCATCCAAAAATAGAAATTGGGGTTCAGTTAGACCCCTCTTAGCATTAAGAACGTCAACAAAAAACTTCTATGTTCATGGCATTGGGAAGAAACTGACATTCTCATGGTCAGTGCTATATTCAGAAAAAAAGAAAAAAAAAAAACACTTATAAAAATTATGGAATACTTGGATTGAATAGTAATTAAATTGCTACCCTGAAAATGTGATGATGAGAAGCACCCTTTTTCTACAAGCAAAGCATTTGTTAAATTATTCTATGAAACTTACATTATTAATTTAATTATTTAATAAATGTGAAGTTACCATCTACCTACCTGACGTAGAGTACCATATTTTTCTTTGTGTGTTACAGCCATTCTTGCACGGGCCAAATCTAATGGATACGTTAATGACTGTGAAGTGACACCAGCCAGTGAGCCAGCAAATAGTCTCAGAACAGGAGGACTCCTATGAATAAAAGCACTTATAATGTAATATGGTGGATTCTTCTTAATTTTAAATCTTAAGTACTTAAAAAAAATTCACAACAACCATAATTTGGGTTACCCGATATATACTACATTAAAAATAAAATACCTTGTTTAACCTCTAGGTAGACACGTAGCATACACTAAATATTCTATGATCAGTTTTACAATGAGTATAAGAGTGTCATTGCAGTTGGTGAGCAAAATTTTGAGATAATCTAAATTGCCAGCATTAGCTAGTAGATAGCTAAGTAGTCAGTTAGCTAGTAGATAGCTAGTAGATAGCTAATGCATTCATTCATTGTTGCATCTTATTGGGTATCAGTTGGAAAACGACATTTGTTTACTGAATGGCATTTCAGAGCAGCACTCCATGCTGGATGGGTCCATTAATACAAGTCAATTTTTTTCATTGTAGATGTCAAATTTTTGCAACCTTTTATATTATTCATCATTTATACAATAATATATAATGCATATTAATAATACAAAACATATTATGCAATTATAAACATCAGCATACTTTATACTTTCTTTTGGTCATACAACTTATTACATTAGAGAAGTGTCCAATAAATAAAACATGTTGCTGAATTTTTATTTCTTTCATTGTTTTCATACACTCAATTTTATATTTCTTATGAGTTTTGAGTTCATAACCAATTCCTTAGTCTTTTAGAACAAAACTGGTTTGCAAATAGTAAGATAAGATATTTTAATAATGAAAAACTAAACTACATTATTTGTACCAAAAAGAACTTCGCAATAAATGAGACCTAGTTTTAGATCCCTACCCTTTAACTTTTCCCAATATTTTCTTTATGTTAAATTTTAACCCTTCATTCTAAAAAGATTATGTTATTTCTCCATGAAAACATTTTCAGATCATTGCAAATTCAAGACAAATGCACTGGATTAACTATCTTATGTAATAATCCTACTTTTCATAGGATTTCAAGAAAGTTGGGTCTTATCAATACAACAGCTTTGTTTCAAAGAATTACCACCGGTAAAACTCGATGACCACTTTGAAGAGATTTTGACCTACTATATATGCCTTTATTCCTTGTCCTTATTCGATTATGTTTAACAAAATGAATCAAATCCACTCCCCATAAAATGTGCAAACTCCTAACAAACAAGCAGTTCACTGGCCAAATTCAACACTCCATAAATGACAGGGTTTTATTGAATAGAATTCTTTGGCATTAGGGGGCCTTTTGTCCACGTCAGTTTTGCCTATGCCCACACATATATTCATCCACTAGCATGTACTGAAGCATTTGTCTACCAGCATTCTACATGAATATACTAAATAACTAGCAGAACTACAACAACACATACTTTCAGGCAATATTACACATTTTTACAATTTTATTTCACAATTATGCTTTTACAATTTTCGAAAATTTAGAGTTCAAGAAAATTGAACATTGAAAATTGAAGATTGAAATAGAGTTCAAGAAAAAAACACCTTATCAGCAATATTAAACTACTGCAACTTTTTTCTTTCAAGAAACCTTAAATAACAGATTTCATTCGGAAAATCTCTCTATCCTGAGTACTGTGGTTGTAGGAAGGCGCAGATTCTGACTTCACAGCATGTAGTAAGTAATTTACGCCTGTGTATATTTTTTATATA